TGTTGGTTTCTATCTAAACTGGAAACTGGTCTAGGTTTTGACTGTTGGTTTTCTATCTAAACCGGTTTAGGGTTCAAGTTGCATTCACCACTCTTTGTGATTGTCCAAGATCCACGGAGAAGGGTTGTGATTACGAATAGTGCCAGGAAAGTTAATTTACTTGGCTTGAAGTAACCTCATGTACCATGGTGCAGTGGTGTCTTCCTGAGATTCATCATCTTTTCGCCTTAGTTCTGTCTCAAGTTCCGTTTATGGCATTCTCATCTTGGCCCAATTGTCTCGAATTGTGGCATATTGTATCTTTATGAGCATTACTGCCAACAAGATCACACAATAGTTCTGATTTTTTTCCGGATGTATTGTCTCAAAACAAACATTTTGTAACATAATAAGTCTTTACATTTTAATTTGATTTGTTTTGATATCTAGAGCTACTGCTTTGCAAACCTAAAGGGATTATTGTCATGTTAGTGCTCCTTGAAAATTTTACTCAATATACTTTTCTTTGGAAAAATAAGTGGAGTATCGAACTATTGATTATTACACTAAAAGGAGGATAATGAAACAGAACACGGACCTCCTCAGAAGCAGCTGACAGACAGCCAGACAGGTTGGCACATATAACATAACAAGAACCACAAAGATACATAAATAAATATATGCATTTTATATATACAATTGATCAATTTAAATCGAGGGATAGGCAAGAAACTTCGAAATATTTTGTTTTGATTTTAAGCACAGCAAGAAAAGTTGGCATTCTATGATCACTTTAAATATTAAAGTCAACTAAAGAAAACCATTGTATACATTAGATTTTCTCTCATGCTTTTTCATTTAAAAGTATTATCTGAACAAACAAACTCCTCATGGAAAAAATTACCATTGTTGAATTATAAACATAAACAAAACCAATCTATATAACACGGTAATGCCCAAACCTTAGTTTCTGACAGCTTGTCCATACCCAACAGACGTAAGACGAACTGAGTTGTTGACCCGTTTACAATAAGAGTCAGGAACACTATGCCACCAGTAAAGAAAACAAACTGCAGAAAATTCATATAATCAGATATCATGGTCTCTACATAACAGAAACTGACAAAATTCTTCACAACCTGCTCCGAAACGAATACATACCAGTGTTCCTACTTCTGGTGTGAGGTCCGATTTGGTATGCTTACCACTAGCTTGCTGCACAGAATAGTACAAAACAACTTGGCATTTTAAAGTCAACTAAGAATAAAATAAATGATATTCAATGTATCATTAAATATTACATATTGAAAAGAAAACTGAAAGCTTGCCGTATGGGATATATGCAAGCCTCGTCGTACATAGTTTAACACAGAAAAACAATGTGCAAGGTTCATCGAACTTCATTTTTCATTATAAATATATATATTAAAAAAACCCGCATGCCTGAGTGAAAGGGAGATGAGCAAGAACAGATGGTATATAATAAAAGAAAGAAATAAAATGAATAAAAATTCTAGATACTCTTGTGACTACACGTATCATTAAGATGTGATGGAAATTAGCAACTAGTATCAGACAGGTATGTATTATAATATTTTCTGATATTCTATTTTACTTGATTTTTCTTAAGAAGATTTCCCTACTTGATCATGTATTACAACAAAATTAAGGTTCTTATGGTTATCATATATGAAAATTTATACCGGGTTAGGTCCACTTTCTTAAAATTCTCAAAATTAAGGTCTCTCATAGTTCTCAAATAAGGAAGCCTCCCTTTCGATCAGTCAGATATGCATAGCAATGGCTTGTCAGATCGTACAAGATTTAAAATTTGAGGAATCTGGACTCAAGCTCAAAGAAATCCAGAGCTCTCGCAGAACACTCAGAATAATTTATCAAATTTAGATTGGGGACTCTTTTCTGACTCATAGGTTTTGTTGGGATTTTCTAAATTCATTTTTATCAAACAAATAGAAACTGCCTTGCTTATTTCCTTGACAGTAATTAGTCCTGTGTGTGGACAGTGTATATATGTGTATATGTATGCATGTATGAGCATATCTATGCACTTATGTATGCACGCATTTATGAAGATGAACCCAAAAAATTCACACAATTACGATTAATATTTCACATTTATGCTAGAAATAAAATTTCAAGACCAGTTAAAATACATGAATTGCAGTTAGAAGTTAACTATATGATTAAAGTTACGTGCAAACACGAGCACACAGCCCAAGCAATCGCATGCATACACATATTCAGAGAGAGATGGAGACTAGATCATTCAAATTTAAAAGCCACTCTGAGCCTCCAGGGACATTGATTAAGACCACTTAGAGTGCCTAAAACCCAAAACTATATTATTTTTGAGTTACCTTATATATGCATCAAGTGGCCAACAAAACAAACTAAACGGACAAAACAAAAAAGCTGTTCAAATCTGTGATCTCTAATTTTACATCCAACAAAAACTACTCTACAATAATCTTAGAGAATGTGATCAAGATTCTCCTATAAAATTCTTTAACATTTAAAAAACAATAATACAGATTGCATTAAACTTCAACTAATCAGAATGCATATGTAGACAAAGTTAAATGTGGCTTGACAAGGTTCAGGCCATAATAACTAAGTCCTAATTTATTTAAATCACATAAAATAAACAACATTTAAGATTTTTAAAGCTTACATAACTGCTTTTGGATCTTTTCACCAAATAGTTTACACTCCAACATGTTGAAGACTGTTCCTATCATTCCTCCATTGCATGCATCCTTTCAAGGTCACTTATTGCTTTAGGTGATTCTAGATCTTTCTATGTTTTCATTATATCTCCATGTGATCTTGCAAGCACCTACCCATGCAGATATATCCATAAACCGCATTTTACTTAACAACTAGAACTAACGAAGAGGACTGTTTCGGTATTAATCTTTAGCTTACACTTACGCTCTGAGATAAGGCAATTTCAACTAGTAAAACATGTAACTCCTGCTCCTGTGCTTGCACACAAGTGGAAGAGTTTCAGCTGCATGATTAATGGAGCAGGTTTCCCTACCCACCAACTTGCCTGTTAGGTTCTGCTGAAGGACCCATTTCTTCCCCATAGTTCATAACTAGGAATCTGGCATGAACTAATGAACTGCCATAGTATACAGTTAGTCAAAAAATTAAGCCACTTCATTGTAGTGACTCTCAGATCGGAATTGCTTCCATAAGAACCATAACAGATCACAAATTGAGGGAAAAGGATTTGGATAATAATACTAAACAACGAAAATATTTGTATAATTTGCGAGTGGCTTTTCATTAACCTTTTAGTCATTTTCATAGACAGATTATACCTACTTTGCACGTTATGCTTCTCCAGACTAAATAAGGGTAGAAAAGATAATCGAGGAAAAAATAGACTAAATATGAAGCACCTAATATGCAAGAACGAAATAGATAGGACATCAGATTTGAAAGAAAATGTCATTGATGGACACTTCTATCATTAAATGGTGTTGTGTTAGATGTGTGTTTGGCACACACATTGGACAAGCACATCATGTGTACTGTTCAGAATTTGATGGGTGTTGACGGTTAGCGTCCATGTCTGCATATCAGTACCCAAGAAACACAATTTGTGACTAATCCAAGAAAGAAATTGGCCAACTTATTTTGCAATTGAGAGCGTAGAGTAGACATGAAGAGCTTGAAGAAAAGATATTCACCAACAGTACTATCCTTCTTGAGATGAAGATTATAGTAATTTTCATTATCAAACAACCGATCAAATTAATAAACATGATTTCTTTCTTACTCACATGAACCCATTTAAATGCATTCTATTGAAAGTTACAGTAAATTTTGACAACTTTTTTCCATGATACTTCAAAATTTTGTATATTTATGGAAATCATAAACCAACTATTTCCTTACTAAGGATCTGGTACTAGAGAGAATACCCGAACTGAAAGTACAAATAAGAGCAAACATTAGAAGGAAAACAGATGAAAGAAAAAGGAAACATACATTAACTGATAGAGACAACGACAATGCAACTGCTCCTCTCAATCCTGACCACATAAGAATAATTGCTTCTCTCCATTCTAAACCATAGCCAAAATATCTCAAGAATGGATATAATATGCTAACAACTATCACTCGAGAGCACTGAACAAAAACATAGAGAAGAATAAGATAGCCCCATGAACTTCCTGAAAAAGGTAAAGAAATATACATATAAAAATGTATAATCTCAGAATAATTTCGAAGTGAAAATGAAGTAAAACTGAGTTCCAGAAGTATCGGTCAATTACAAGATGAGCAATAGCAAATTGCGCAAAATAGTCAAAATGCATGTGCAGTTCTCCCAGATGGAGAAGTATTTTTTCTACATTATATGAAGTTGATAAATGAGATAATTAACACAATAAACTTACATTTCTTGGAAGAAATAAGGAACTATGGTCTGATTATTTGAAATTCTGCATCCAGGAACTATACATAGTTAACTGAAAGCAATATTTCATGACTCATTATTTTTGACTAGTCATCTGGTGAACAAATAGATGTAGATGGGTTTATGTTGAAAATGCATCTTTCTGAGATTCTATGTGGTTTTTAATCTTCGTATGAAATTTTACCTTAAAATAATCCCTGCCAAAACCAACACGCCCAAAATCATTTATTTCCAGAAAACATGGAATATATGGTATTGGCATATTGATATGGCAATTGAGCATAAGTTTGTGTTTCTATCGTATCAAAATATAGGGATTGGGAAAATTTAGGAGAGAAAATTTATCAGAGATGAGAAATATTTATTCATAATCCAACTCTCGTTGTCTACGCATAGAAGGGATGGATAGACAACCACTACTACTTACCAGTATATTGTATAAAGGGTTTGATTATACACTTTCTATTAAAAGTCAAAATGTAGATTATTTTAGTTTTTGCATCACATATTCACCTTTGCCCAACATGATATATTTCTCTATCAGGGTCAACTACAAGCATTTAATTGATTCCTTCTTCAAAATTACTAGCTAAGATTTTTCAATTTTGTAGGAATTATTATAATTAGAATTTTCTTTATCTCATATCACATGTGGCACTATTCAGTATCATTTGGGGTGTAATCAAGACCTTCTAACATTTATCACGTGCTGGACTTTTCACATCTTTGGAGGTGTTACAACACTAGAGAAGGATTTTAAATGTGAATAATTGACAGTTAGAAACAACTTGGTTATATTGACAATAATATGGATCCAGTTTTGCACAAGTCTCGTAAGGCTACTCCATTCGTTTTTGTTCCGAAGTTAAAAAGTCCAAGAAAAAGTAATATTTGATGGAAACTAAAGCATCTGAAAGTGAGCCATAATATTATTAACAAGAAAGTTAAGCTTAGCAAAAGTACCGTGTCCTTGAAAGTGATCATAGTTGTTAAGAATATCTTCTGCAATAACCACGCCACTGACAAGCAAAAAATATATTAAGAATGAGAAAATTGCACCACAGATAAATTTAGAAGAGTCTCATTCAAGCAAGGATAGAGAGTTCTAAAATGTGATATACAAACACATCGTATTTACAAAATGGAAGTGGTAGAAGAAAAGAGATCAGGAATTTAATACACCTATTCCAATTTCCAACAGATTCTCCTATTTCATACCAAAAAAGCCCTATGGTAGAATCACCAGATTTCCTCTGTGCTGCCTAGATCATTTCATGATGAGTGTGCAGAATGGATGAATAGTGGCTAATAAATCAGCAATCATTAGGTGAATATTGAATAATACCAAAAATGGCGAGGAAGAGTTAACAACTGTCAAAGCATGGTCAAATAGTTTTGAGCTTCAATTTATGTCCCCAAAACATAGATGTAACAAACTAACTATTCTACATATCTGTTTTACGCACTTGACATATAGGAAGTAGAACTCATAATTAGTTCAAATTTAATTTTAAGCGTTCCACACAGCGGACATAAAGATAAGCATTGTGGATGCCTACAATCAGGGTTTCAACGACAAGAGGTTGGTTCAATACATGAAGATACAAGTCTTCACATTAAAATATGATCACATGGAACCACTTTGAAAATGATTTCTGTCAATGCTAATCTACATATCTACATGGCTCAAAAACAAAAGTCATATGCATCTTACCCATGCTGCCATGTATCAAATTTGGGCCGAAGGAACTTACTGTCACAGGTCAGGAAGTTTTCAAACCCAACATCCAAAGAGTTACAACACAAGGGTTTGAAGTGTTTAGACAATGATCTAGAATTAGTCCCTCCCTCCAGGTGTCTTATTAGCTTTCATTGATTAATCAGACAATTTCGTGAATTACGCACCTTAAAGCAAGTTTATATCATTGTACTTAAAGCACATAATGAAACTCAAATTATAAATGTTACTTGCATCAATCATTCTACATAATAATGCAATTGATGCACCAATGGACTTCAGATCATAACAGAACTGATAAAAAATTAAAATCACAACTGGACGAGGTTGGAAGGACTATAGTGTACCTTAAGATGAAAATAAGAGTGTTAGCAATATAGGCGACCATTTCCCTGAAAAAGATATATGCATTAATAGCTATCAGAAATCTATGTAATATAATTTGCAAAGACCTCTACCTCCTCATGTTTAGAAAGTTACAGATAAACTAGAGTTATAACAATAATAGTTACTTGAAAAATTCAGCCAAGTAGAGTACAGAAAGGCTTTTTAACCAAATGCACATGGTTCCACTAAATAATCATAATCACAACTCAAGATATTGTTATTCACCTACATTTGTCATGTTGAATACTTTTTCAAGTTGAAGGAAGACACAACCTGCTCGCAACATAATCCTCTAACAGAAAAGCATGAATTTTACACGTCCTTTCGTTTTTACTTCCAAATATTTGATATTATACAAACAGGAAATTTTACAAACCACTAAAAAAGAATGAAAATAAAATTTAACCTGTAAATCATATTCAACATACAAAACCCAAAAAAAATCAGATGATCTGATGTTAACAACATAAACTCTTTGGTATTAAAAGTACGTCAATTGTGCAATTAGACATCTTTTTTCGCCTCTGGTGAAAAACTTGACGGGAAAATTGCATCTGACCTCACACGACTTAATTTCAGGGTTATCAAAAAGCTAATATGGCTTTGTTTAATTGATGTGGCTGGACTTAGATGACGTGGCGCATATAAAATTGTAGACTTCTTGACTTCCATGTGATTTTGAAGATGTAGATGGTTAGTAGGGTGATTGTTAGTACTTAGTTGAATGAAAACATAGTTTTTTCACTATAAATGTGTTTGAAATTGAAATTTTCCCATAATTTCACCAGTGGCAAAGAAAAATGCCTGATAGTAGAAGTGGACTTTTAATACCAAAAAGTCGCCAAAGAAACTTTTAATACCAAACTGATTAAGAGGGGTTACAAAAAAAATACCAATTTGGTAACGTAGCCATTTTAAAACCACTAGATGTAAGAGTTGTGAAAACACGTGCCTAATTTTTTATTGTAGACCATTAATACATGTAAATCAAAAAGAATGGAGTGGATCGTTCAAATTAATGGCACATAATAGAGTTTTGTAGGTGGGCATAACTAAGATAGTATTTCCTAAGAATACTAAAGTTGCTTCCACCCGCACCCCCACCCACCCAACCCACCAATTTTAAAACCACTAGATGTAAGAGTTGTGAAAACACGTGCCTAATTTTTTATTGTAGACCATTAATACATGTAAATCAAAAAGAATGGAGTGGATCGTTCAAATTAATGGCACATAATAGAGTTTTGTAGGTGGGCATAACTAAGATAGTATTTCCTAAGAATACTAAAGTTGCTTCCACCCGCACCCCCACCCACCCAACCCACCACATTCTCTAATTCTCTACACCCCCATCTAGCTAGAGAAATTCGGATTTAGAGAAACCCTAAGGTTAGAAGATCCAAAACCCATCTCAAGGTTCATCCATGGATTCAGGTATAAGCTTCCGCTCTTTTGATTTTGTTAATCTCTTTGAATTAATCATGGCTATATGGTTTTAGATCTCAAGTTTTATGATGTAGATCTAACAAGTGGTATCAGAGCCACCTTGATTAATTCTTAGGGATTTAAGTTTTATTGGGTTTTTGATCTTAAATCTCTGGTTAAAGATTCAATTTTTGGGTTCGGATGAACAGTAATGTTCTCGGATGAACAGTAACGAATTTTTTTTTCGGATGAACAGTAAAGTATTTTTTTCGGGTGAACAGTAACTTTTGGGAATTTTTTGGATTTTTCTTTGATTTTTCCTTCAATTTTTTCCAATTCTGGATCTGTTTTGAAAATAAAAATCAAAGGTTTTTTGGGTTTGTCGGCGGCGGTTTCAATTTGAAACCCTAAGGGTTCATGGCGAAAATTAAGGAGGTGGTTACCTCAAACGAACCTCGCGTTCGTTCAATTTTAACCGAGCTTCGCGCTCAACGAACCTCGCGTTCGTTCTAAGGTGAACCTCGCGTTCAACTCAGGTGAGCGTCAAGCTCAATTTTAACGAACCTCGCGTTCGTTCTAAGGTGAACCTCGCGTTCAACTCAGGTGAGCGTCAAGCTCAATTTTTTTAACGAACCTCGCGTTCGTTCTTCAGACGAACCTCGCGTTCGTACTTCAGACGAACCTCGCGTTCGTACTTCAGACGAACCTCGCGTTCGTACTTCAGACGAACCTCGCGTTCGTACTTCAGACGAACCTCGCGTTCGTACTTCAGACGAACCTCGCGTTCGTACTTCAGACGAACCTCGCGTTCGTACTTCAGACGAACCTCGCGTTCGTGCTTCAGTCGAGCCTCGCGTTCGAACTTCAGACGAACCTCGCGTTCGTACTTCAGACGAACCTCGCGTTCGTACTTCAGTCGAACCTCGCGTTCATTTTTTAAACGAACCTCGCGTTCGTTCCCAAGTTGAACCTCGCGTTCTTTTATCAAACGAACCTCGCGTTCGTTCATTTTCAGACGAACCTCGCGTTCGTGCTTAAGTGAGTCTCGTACTCAATACAGTCGAACCTCGCGTTCGAAGTTAAGGGAACTTCGTGTTCATTATGGTTAAGCCTCGGCTTTTCATGGGTCCACTTTGGTATACTTAATTTATTCAATTAAGTTATGGGCCCTAATTAAGCTGTGAGACCCCAATTAAGTTTTTGGAAATTCAGTTGATTTAAATTAAAACTTTTTAATTTAAATCTAATTTGGTTTTTAATCAATTATTTAATTCAAATATTATGACACTAAGGTATTAAGGTTGTCTCTCACTCCAATTGATTAATTGAAACAAGAAGTTGCCAAAGTAACCTCTCTTGTGTAGATTGTTCATGAGGAATGTGAGATGTTTGTGTGTATGCTTTCGTGTAAATATTTAATCGGCCCAAAGGAAGGTTAATATTTATTTAGACTGTATACACATCTGCGATGATAAGCGTGTGACAATTATAAGGTTTACATGTGAATAATGAATCGATCCAAAGATAGTTTCATTATTTGACATGAGTTATTGTCAATGTTTGATCATTGCAACAAGGTATCACTTACAAGTTAATATTACTGTCCAAAGACTTGATATTAATGTTGTGCCGGTATCTTGGATGGGGATTGTCATTATTTGAATTTTATTGATTATGGTTATTGATGTGAGCATTTTTGTTTTATTTCAGCTAATGCATCTGCTGCAACAATTTCTGCTAACATCAACTCAATTCCCATGCTAAATGGGACAAACTTCAAGGTTTGGAAAGAGAACATATTAATTGTTCTTGGCTGCATGGATCTTGACTATGCATTAAGAACTGAACAACCCCAACCTCTCAATGCGGATAGCACTCCTGATGCAAAGAAGGAGCATGAGAAGTGGGAGCGTTCAAATCGCATGAGTCTTATGATCATTAAGCGCGGCGTTCCGGAAGCCTTCAGGGGCATAGAATCCGAAGGGATTACTAAGGCTAAAGATTTCCTTGCCGAAATTGAGAAGCGTTTTGCGAAAAACGATAAGGTAGAAACAAGCACGCTTTTAGCTCGCTTGATTTCAATGAAGTATAAGGGCAAAGGAAATATCAGGGAGTACATTATGGAAATGTCTCATATTGCTTCAAAGCTTAAGGCACTTAAACTCGATCTTTGTGACGAGTTATTAGTGCATCTGGTTTTGTTGTCTCTTCCTGCACAGTTTAACCAATTTAAGGTCAGTTATAACTGTCAAAAGGAGAAATGGACTCTAAATGAGCTCATTTCATACTGTGTGCAAGAAGAAGACAGGTTGAAGCAAGATAAGACAGAAAGTGCTCATTTGGCCTATGCCTCTAAGGATAAGGGCAAGAAAAGGAAGAATGATAAGGAAGCTGCTAAGGGTCCAGTTGAGAAGAAACAACATAAGGATAATCAGGGTTGTTTCTTCTGTAAGAAGCCTGGACATGTAAAGAAGGACTGTACAAAATATCACGCCTGGCGTGATAATAAGGGTACGTTCCTTGCTTTGGTCTGTTCTGAGGTTAATTTAGCTTCAGTACCTAGAAACACTTGGTGGTTAGACTCTGGTGCTACTACTCACATAAGTGTTTCTATGCAGGGTTGCCTGAGCTACCGAAAGCCAAGTGATGTTGAAAGACACATCTTTGTGGGCGACGGACAATCGGTAGATGTGGAAGCAATTGGGCACTTTAGGTTGTTGTTAGGAACTGGTTATTATTTGGATTTAAAAGATACTTTTGTAGTACCGTCTTTTAGACGGAATTTGGTTTCTGTTTCTGTATTGGACAAATCAGGTTATTCTTGTTCATTTGGAAACAGTCAATTCAGTTTATCTTTTAATTCAAATGTTGTGGGAACCGGTTACTTGAGTATTTATGACAACCTATATTTGCTTGATACAATTGCTTCTTACAATGAATCCTTGCATGTGGAATCACGTGGTACTAAGCGTAAATTAAATAAGGAAAATTCGGCGACATTATGGCATAAGCGCTTAGGTCATATCTCAAAAGGTAGAGTTGAGCGTCTTGTGTCTGATGGCATTTTGGATTCCCTTGATTTTTCGGACTTCGACGTATGTGTTGAATGTATCAAGGGAAAACAGACCAAAGTGAAGAGATTAGGTGCCAACAGATCTTCGGATGTCTTAGAATTGATACATACGGATATTTGTGGGCCATTCCCTACGGAATCCTGGAATGGTCAACAATATTTTATATCATTCATAGACGATTACTCACGTTATGGGCACCTATATCTTATTCATGAAAAATCTGAGTCTCTGGACATGTTCAAAGCCTATAAAGCTGAAGTTGAGAATCAACTCAACAGAAGAATTAAAACCGTCAGATCTGATCGTGGTGGTGAGTACTACGGTAGATATGATGGTTCAGGTGAACAACGTCCAGGACCATTTGCTAGATACCTAGAGGAATGCGGTATCGTCCCACAGTACACTATGCCGGGTTCACCTAGCATGAATGGTGTAGCTGAAAGACGAAACAGGACTCTTAAGGATATGGTAAGAAGTATGATTGCTCATTCTTCTTTACCAGAGTCACTCTGGGGAGAAGCACTTAAGACAGCAGCTTACATTCTGAATAGAGTACCAAGTAAAGCAGTTGCTAAAACACCTTATGAGCTTTGGACTGGTCGAAAGCCCAGTTTAAAGCATTTACATATTTGGGGATGTCCAGCTGAGGCAAGGCCTTATAGGCCAAATGAAAAGAAATTGGACTCCAAAACAGTTAGCAGCTACTTTATTGGGTACCCTGATCGCTCTAGGGGCTATAAGTTTTATGATCCCACTATAAGGAATATTTTTGAGACGGGAACAGCAACATTCTTTGAGGATGTTGAGTTTGGGGGGAGAAATAAGGTTAGAGACATTAGTTTTGAGGAGGAATTGGCTTCAGATCCAATCCATACAGTTACTTTTGACAATATTCAGGTTCCTATACCTGTTGTTGCTCAAGAAGTAAATCCGGAACCTCAAGATGATAATGTTGAACAACTCCCTGTTCCAGAAGAACAAACTCAACAACCTCAAGAACCAGTGCCATTAAGGAGATCCACGAGAGAAAGGAGAAATGCTATTCCGGATGATTATATTGTATTTCTCCAAGAACATGAGGAAAGTAGTGGAATGTTAGAAGATGATCCAATCAACTTCTCTCAGGCCATGAAAAGTTCTAACTCTCAACAGTGGATTGATGCCATGAATGAAGAGTATAAGTCTATGCAAGACAATAAGGTTTGGGAACTTGTCCCATTGCCAGAAGGTGCAAAACCAATTGGTTGTAAATGGATTTTTAAAACCAAGCGGGATGCAAACGGTAATGTGGAGAGGTATAAGGCGCGTCTTGTGGCTAAAGGCTATACTCAAAAGGAAGGCATTGATTATACAGAGACTTTCTCTCCGGTTTCATCGAAAGACTCTTTCAGAATAATCATGGCACTTGTTGCTCATTATGATCTTGAGTTACATCAGATGGATGTTAAGACTGCATTTCTCAATGGAGACATTGATGAGATGATTTATATGGTGCAACCAGAAAACTTTGTGTCAGGAGACCCAAAGAATATGGTTTGCAAATTAAGGAAATCCATCTATGGACTCAAGCAAGCTCCTCGTCAATGGTATCATAAGTTTCAACAAATAGTTATCTCGTTCGGTTTTGAGATGAACATTGTTGATGACTGTGTATATCACAAGTTCAGTGGGAGTAAGTATATTTTTCTGGTTCTGTATGTGGATGACATCTTGCTTGCCACTAATGATATAGGCATGTTGCACGAAACCAAGAGATTTCTATCAAAGAATTTTGAGATGAAAGATCTTGGGGACGCCTCTTTTATATTAGGGATCCAGATACATCGAGATCGCTCTCGGGGTATTCTTGGATTATCACAAAAGAGCTATATCGATAAGGTACTTAAAAGGTTTGGCATGCAAGATTGCAGACCAGGTGACACCCCTGTTGCTAAAGGAGACAAGTTTAGTCTCAATCAGTGCCCTAAAGGTAACCTTGAAATTCAGGAAATGCAGAAGATTCCTTATGCTTCGGCTGTAGGAAGTCTAATGTATGCTCAGGTATGTACGCGTCCGGATATTGCGTACATTGTTGGGATGTTAGGCAGATACTTAAGCAACCCTGGTATGGATCATTGGATAGCAGTCAAAAGGGTTATGAGGTATCTTCAGAAAACAAAAGATTACATGCTCACATACAGAAAATCAGAGAAATTAGAGGTCATTGGGTATTCGGACTCTGATTTTGCTGGATGCCAAGATAGCAGGAAGTCTACATCAGGCTACATTTATATGTTAGCAGGAGGAGCTATATCATGGAAAAGTGTCAAACAAACACTAGTAGCTTCCTCCACTATGGCAGCAGAATTTGTAGCTTGCTATGAGGCATCCAATCAGGGAATATGGCTGCGAAATTTTGTCACGGGACTGCGCATTTTGGAAAATGTTGAAAGACCACTAAGGTTATATTGTGACAATAAATCTGCAGTAATGTATTCCAATAACAACAGGAGCTCAACTAAGTCAAAACATATTGACATTAAGTTCCTGGTTGTGAAAGAAAGGGTACAGAGTGGACAGATATCCATAGAGCACATTGGGACAAACTCCATGATAGCTGATCCTCTTACTAAGGGATTGCCACCTAAGGTCTTTCATGAGCATACTGCTCATATGGGTGTGGTATTATTTGAGGATATTATGTTTTAGTGGGAGTTTGTATTTGTGGTGCTTTATGTTTGGTTGTATTGTCTGATCAGAATAAAGTATTCAGTTAAGACACTCTGTTACATTATGTTTGGTTTTGACCTCACTAAGGAGGACCAGTTGAAAATAGACATGTACTGATCACATTACATGTAATTTTCATGCTGCACATCCATGATTGATCTATGTCGTTTGATTGTATTGGTATATGTGACCATTGATGGGTCGAGTCACGATAAATGTGACGAAGGCCGCTTTGATCCTATATTGATATAGTCAATGGACGAGATTGTTCGGAAATACCTTTTCAGTGATAGCAATTTTTGAGCTCATAAGGTTATACACAATTTAAGGAATCATATGGTGCCCAAGTGGGAGATTGTTGGATTTAATCTAATAAATCTATTTGTGGGCACATATGATTAATCAATGTGTATTGCTATCTTTCAGGATAACCCACTAAAGTGATCAATTAAGTTGGGTTAATGGGTATTTAAATATAATCATGGGGTCATATGTGCAGATACCAGGTTGTAATTGTAATTTATTGAGGGGCTAAATTACAAAAGTACAACATCTATAAATAAGGGGTTATGGTCCCTAACCTAGGGTTACATTCTCTAATTCTCTAGACCCCCATCTAGCTAGAGAAATTCGGTTTTAGAGAGAACCCTAAGGTTAGAAGATCCAAAACCCAAATCAAGATTTCATCCATGGATTCAGGTATAAGCTTCCGCTCTTTTGATTATTTGTTAATCTCTTTGAATTAATCATGGCTATATGGTTTTAGATCTCAAGTTTTATGATGTAGATCTAACACCACATGCATACGTCCACACACAGAAAGAGAGAACAACAACAACAAAAGGAGGATAAGCAACAGCAATACTTCTTTAGCATCTCTTTTTTTTTGTCTAGCATTTTCTGTCTGGAAATTATCGATTATGATCCAAGAACTCAACCTTTTTCTATCAACTTAAAACTCTTCTAACATCTTAAAGTAAAATTTTACATCATGAAAAATAAGGCTGCTCAAATCTAGACAATTATTTAAAAACTACACTTCTTTCGAGTTTCAACTGCTGAAAAAGATCAAGTTGCAAATGAAGTAGAACTCTCATGAAGATGAAAAAATAATTAGGGAGAATAGCATAACCTGCTCTACTGTTGCTCAAGATATAAGAGATGGTACACCAGTATGATACAATGTAAAATGTTTACAAGCTAAACAACTCAAGAATGTACAACAAAATATCCAATCAAAAACCCCTGTACTACCAAAGATAAAAATACAGTTTACATAGATAAAGATAAGAAGCATATTCCAGTATTCCATAATATTTCACTTGTGTGGTAAGTGACAAGGAAAAATATCTGCTTACCAAAAGTGATGCAGACTCTCTTGCCCATCACCCTTAAAAGCTGTTCTAGCTACTGCAGCATAGAACCTGCACATGCAAAGTATAGGCATAATGAAGGATTGTGCAAATCCATTTAAAACACAGTCAGCCAGACAATACCCACTCACATTCCTAAAGTCATCACTGTCAAGACACCTGAAACTTCTGCTGCATCCTGAGCCTGAGACTCAAAATAACAGTGATTATGGGTCAATATAGAAATACGGAAGAAAACTAGAAAAAGAGTACAACATCACGAACAAGGATATCTTACAGTGAAGTAAGCAATATAGCTAACAGCAAGAGTTAATGTAATCTCTATGACTGTGTCGTTAAAGATAAAGCCCAGCCACAATACAGATGCTATTCCGAACGCTACACCCACAGCCACACTGTGCAAAAAGAAAAGACCATAATTAGTATCATCATGCTCTGTTGGTTACTATACGGCAGAAAAAGAATCAGTTACATACGCTCCCAGTGAAACTTGAGACAGAAATTTTATGATCTCTCCTGGGCTGAAGCTCCGTCCAAGAGCCATTTTGTAGAACAAAGTATAGACAACAATGGCAGTACTGCAACAATAGCAAACTTCTGTCACATCTGACAAGCACTCGAATGTGCAATAAGTCACTGACTTAATGGAATATACATGAAGTAAATACCAGTAATTATATTCATCTCCTTAAACAAAAATTAATAATATACCGGTCTTGTTTTTCCTCAGGTTTTAGGCAGCTCCAGCTAGGAGGCCCTGATGGTCAGATTGGTTAGGGTTCAAAGACCTACTCATCGATGTTAAATTTGTAGGATCCACTTTGGATCCAATCTCAATAAAAATAACATGTTAACATGGGCATTCAAACCCATTAATCTATTGGATTTTTATTTCTGGTGATACACATTAAATACACTAGACATGAATGTACAGTTTTCTATTCTAAGAATGATGAAGTTAATGAGTTGCCTCAGGATGCGTTCAATATTTATGAACTAGTGTGCACCCCGTGCAAAGCACGGCCTCCATTTTTTATTTCTGCTACAGTAATTCTGTATTTAAATACAGCTTTGTCAGTGCTACAGCAACAACTTTAAATGCTACAGTATCCCGCCTGAGTTACAGTGCTAATGCTACAGTAATGCTTTAAGCGCTACAGTTCCCTCCTACGCTACATTAATTTACTGTAGCATGAATAATGAATCTTGAATCCTCCCATTATTATAGAGGAATATATATTGATTTTACATTGTATTTTACACCTTTATCCAAGGTAGGTAAACAACTACTTTTACAAATACCAAATACAGATTTAAGGTACTACCCATTCCATAATACGTAAATTTAAAGAGGTGGCCTTTTCTATACAAAAAAGTCACCTTGTCAGGCTCCCTGGAACAATTACCAATCAAATTTTGGTGAGCCCATTTAGCAAGTTATCATGAATGATTGACCACAAGTTAGGGTGGAAGCCACAACAAATTAGAGAATGCAAACAGGATCCACTTATGCCAATCACATCCTTGGTACTACCTTCATGATTCGATTGGACATGTAATTTTGTAATATTTATCTGAAATTCAAGAACAAAACATAAAGAAAATGAATGTGCAGATATTATATAAGCATGTTTAAGGTATTTAGTAAATAATATGTCCTGCCAAGGATTGAAGAGCACAGCATAACTGATAGGCAGCAAGGTTACCGCTTAATGAGTATTCATAGGGAACTCACAAGATCATGCCTTGACAAATTTACAAAAATAACATTACAAAGCAAAGAAAACTTTTAGCATGTGAGAAAGGGTTCCATAACTTGTACACAGTAAGAACTTAGATGATAGAAAACAAGTAACATACCCGTCATTCATCAACGATTCTCCCTCAATAATTGTATTCAGCTTTTTACTAGCTCCAAGTTCTTTCAGTAAAGCCACAACAGCAACAGGATCTGTAGCGCTAAGAAGCCCCCCCAGCAACAATGATGTCTTCCAAGTCCAGCCATAGGGAAAAGCGACCTGTGGTTTAATTTACAGTAATCATTAATCATTCACAATTTTTGAAGCTAAGGGGCAATTAACCCTTAAAGCCATACCTTCAGAAGTGTTCCTAGACAAAAGGTTGATATAAGAACGCCCGGCCCAGCAAGTAGCAGCATTTGACCAATGCACCTCTGCACCATTATAAGAATGTCTTTTGGTAAGGAGCCATAATGTTTTCATATCAATTCAGGAATACACTAGGGCATAACAGGGGTTTTAATTGAAATTTATCTCCTACAGGAGGCACCAGAAATTGAACATTGACTATGAGAGATTGTCCTGGTGGATTATACTCAGGATAAGAATTTTTTTTTTTTTATCCAATTAAGGGAAACACATGATAACATTGCATTCCAGTTTCCATTTGTCCCGTATATCTCCATTTAAATGAAGTAAGCTCTTTCTCTCCTCTATATGAACCCGTAAAACAAACCAACCACCTTTAGCTATGTAGCCGTTCTAGGTCATCATTCAACCATTCATTTCAGCCTAGTCAGTTGTTGGCGACAGGTCCCTGGTGATTGGGCATGCTATGAAGGATCTTCTTAAGACAGCTAAACTAACCTAAAAATGTTCAGCTTGTCTTATTTCATTAGGTTAACCTCTAAGTGTTTAGGTAAGTAAAATTTGTGTTTCTACACGAGCATTGTTAGGATAACTAAGATTTGTTAGTTAAATTACTTATAATCAACTGAAATTGTTAGGAGTGAAGTTTAAATGGCTGAAACAATACAGTTTGCACAGGGTACAGAAATATCAAGAGTATATTATCTGAACCTCTTTAACGACATGCAAACAAAATTAAGGAAGTATAGTTATATCTTGACCAGAACCATGTTTAACAAACCATTATTAGTATATAAGTAGAAAAGGTCCTCAGAGTAAACATTTAGGGAAAATGTGCTTAGAATAAAATTAACCCCACTTGATCATCAGGCATGGCCAAAATACATAAAACTTGATCATCAGTCATGGCCCTAATACATAAAACTCTATGGTCCAATAAAAAGATTTGAAAGGATTTCTAAGAGCCAGCCTCTGATCTCCAAATGTTTCAATCATAATTTAGTTAGCAATGCTTCATAACTATTAATTAGGTCATCATTTTCCATCTCATGCACAATCAAAACTTAAAAACTAACAAACATGATATTCAAGCCACGATAAATGGTTCAAGATAGAGAAAACAGGTTTCATTTCATTCAAAGAATTGGTGATGTACCTTTATTTGGTGCACCTCCATAGAAAAGGAGCTCTCGAAAAGAAGAGCAGGAAGAAAAACAGCCAACAGAAGGTCAGGGTTAATGTTTGCCCCTGTACAGTAGCAGAAACAAGTAAATATGATATACTTTCAGAAAAAGAAACACATGCTTGCAATTTCAGACCCCAAATAACAGTTATATATGGAAACTTACAAAGGCGAATACCAGCCCCAATTTTGCCCAATCCATGGCTTGTTCCATATTCTGTAAAGAATTTCAGTTATTTAATTTCATTTACAAGGAAACAAGAGAAAAAGAATGAAACATATACATAATGATAGGATGAGAGATAATCCACATAGTCCCATGAAGAGCCTAGGAGAATATTCCTGGTTACAATGTTCAGTTCTAAGGTATTCATAGCCTACCCCCAAAATAGTCTATTAACGATGAACTTTGAAGTTTGAATACATATGATATTTCCTTTATAAATCGGAAGAAAGAAAGAATTAAACATCTACATAATGATAGGAAGACGCATCCACATAGTATTGTGAATCGCCACTGCAGAACATTCCTGATTAAAATGTTTGGTACAAGGAATACTCATGGCCAGCCTCGGAAATGATGTATTAACCATGAACTTCAAATATATACGATGTATTATTTATGATCTGCATGTGTATCGTCAATTTGATATGAACAATGATATTGGAGTAGAGTTTAAGAATAATGTTCTTTGGTTTGGACGCCCTTCATGGGTCACTCCAACTCTTTATACAGTTAAGTCATTGTGATACCCCAAGATTTAGTCCCACATCGGATATTCACTGAGTGACTGAATGATTTATAATGTAAGTCCAATGAGTCAAGTACAATATTGACTAGTCAATTTTCATAGTGGATTGAGCCAAACCATGTGTTTCATTCCATGGGTCTCATGGCTTACATCTCGCCAATGGGCTCGCGAACCCCGAGTGTGACAAATAGTATCAGAGCAGTTAACTAGTCGAAAATATGAAGCTAAGTGCTACTATGCCGGACTAAGAGCTACATCGTACGAGTGCGGTGGGAGCCATCCGTAGAAGCCCGCATGAGCCACCTCTAGAGTCCACATCGCCTGGTGGCGATACTGAAACGGATCAATTGTCATGCCGCGACGAAACATCATGTAATTAAGGTTGAGTGATGGTGATACCCCAAGATTTAGTCCTACATAGAATATTGATCGAGTGATTGAATAATTTATAATGTAAGTCCAAGGAGTCAAGTGCAACATTGACTAATCAATTTTGACAATGGATTGAGTCAAACTATGTGTTGCACTGCATAGGTCCCACGGCTTACATCGTGCCGACAGACTCGGGGGCCCAAGGCTTGACAATCATGTTCCCTTAATCCTAATTGACACCTATTAACCTTCTGGATCAATGTTAAAATCCCCTTTATGCAGATCAATGTTTGAAATAGCTTTTTTGAAACTCGTTAGGTAAACATTCCTAAACTCAAGAGTGAAGTTATTTATCCATTAAAGCTTATGCATCATCGCTTAAAGCATAACTGAAAGTGTGTGGCTTCATAAAGCGCTTCCCTTTTGAAGCACACACTTTAGACAAGATAGGAAGATATGAAAAGATTTTTTACTAATATTGAAGTGCCCCTATGTATCTTCAATATGAACATTGGAGTATAAATAAGATTATATGTTATGCATGTAGCTTAGTTTATTGCGATGTGCATCAATATCTCACATATTTAGTTCTTATTTACCAATCAGGATATGAATGTATCTATTTGTAAATTATCATACAACTACCATCTATTATATGTTTATAATTTTTATTTTTTACAGGTTTTAAAATTAAAATGCTTAAACTCATGAGGCTTACGTCTCATGTTTTGAAGCTTAGCCTCGCTATATTAAAGGGTCTAATACTTCGCCTTGCGCTTGCGCTTCCGCTTTTTTAAACATTGATGTAGATAATGTATCATTATTGAGCAAAGCAATTAAGAAAACAAGCCATCATCTTGCCTTTTGCAAAGTCAAGGAAAGTGATAGAGGATAAGCTTGTGTCTGTGCGCGTGTTTTGTTCAATAGCAACACAAATGCTTGATCATCTAGTTTCCTCCACCAATCATCAAATTGCATTCGGAGAAATGGGCAATCAATCGTCATCTTCAAGTAGGTTAGTGGAGTTAACTGGATACTTCCACAATTGGCTATGCCTAGCTAAGTCAACGTGCATACATAGAGTCATCCAAGGTTCTAAATGAAAAATTCCCTTCAAAAGTCCACTTGAGTTATCCGCCACGGAGTCCCTCGATCTTGAATTCTCAGTTGATGATAAGCTTATAAGAGACAAATAGGGAGAAGTGTGTGTGAAGTGCAGTTGTTTCTATACAAAAGCCAACAGGTGCAAACAGAGGCCAAGCGCGAATACAAACTCTAACTTGCAGATCGCAAACTTCTTGTTTCAACCAGAAGGAATTATCAACTTATCAGATAGAATTAGGCACAAAAATTTAACTCTATTTCTAATGAAAAGAAATAATAATAATCATCATTAAAGTCTGAAAAGCCATCAGGCGTCAGTTTACTTAAGGCAATTCACAAGGGGCGGAAACCTTAAGTCAATTCACAAATCACATAATTAAGGCAAAAAAAGCCTTAACAACCAAACATCAATCATCAAAAATATAAAACTGCCATATCAACTTAATCAAAGGAACTCAAGTTAATTACAGAGAAACTACTGTTGTACTCAAATTAACATCCAAAAAACACAGAGAGAGAATAATTAACCTAGAGATCCCATGACAATGCCGATGATGAGAAGAGCGACGGTGTACGGAACTCTAGTCCCCCGAAGCACGTGCCTTGAAGCGATTCCGAGAACGAGCGAGATCCCGACAAACACCACGGCGTCCGAGGGCTCGCCTGGGCTTCCATCGCTCTCGCGAGGCGCCACCTCCGCCATCGGAAAATTTAGAGATGAGAGAGAGAGAGAGAGAGAGTGAGTATCTTTAGTAGCTAGCGGATCTCAAAAATTGTGGCCTCTTGTGATTCATTAGTAGCAGAGGATGGGGTTAAGAGAGACTACAGGGATGGTTTAGTAAACACTGCCTCTTTTGTTTAAATAAAATTGCGTATTTCAATTTTCAACCTCTACTTTTGTCGTTTTGTGTAATTTTAAAATTTATGTAGCATCCATCAACTATCCAGTACTGGATATAATAAAATAGTTGATTTGTTGCAATGAGCAGGTGTTTTATTTTTTACGATTACTATTTTCGAATATTATCTATTATTTTTTGTTTATGAAAATATTATTATTGGGGAATTGTAGTTTCTCCGCCTACTATGATCTGCGCAACTTGAAAACCAACCCACAATCAACAAAATATAAAACAACTACAATCAAGAAAAAAGAATACCGAGATTTACGTACTTCGGTCGGCCAACTTCGATCTACGTTCACAGGGCAACAATACGAGAAATTCACTATGAATCAGGGAGAACTACAAGAGAAATCACTCAACCCTCGTCTCTCAATCTCTTAACCTCACATACATAATCAACTATCATATTCTCTCCAAAGCACTCTCGTTACAATCTTTTGAACGAAGAGAGACTGCGAAACTCTCCCCTAATGATGTAATCTTTTGTACGCACAAAGACTACGAAATTCACGCCTCTCGCACAATATTCTTGAATCAGGCTACGTCCTCTGCTAACCCTAGATTACAAGAATATTGTCTCTCTCGCTTCTCTTCTTCTTAGTTTTTCCTCCAACAATAGAAGAATATATATAGGGAAACCAAAACTCATTCTCTAGCCAAACTTCCTAATTAGAATAGGATTCAAACTCCTAATCATGATGAGACTAAATCTCTTAATCATGATAGATCTCTAACTCTATCTAATTCTCATGAAGTTATATAAAGAATCAAAGACACACTCCCAACAATCTCCACCTTGGATTTGATTCTCAATCCACCTCGAAGATCTATCATTGTCATTTTGAAACTTTACCTCTCCCGCTAGCGTCTTCTATTCCTTTCGCACTTTAAATCGAAGCATCTGCACTCCTAATCAGAACACCTGCACTCTAACTGGATTCCCCTATGACCCTCACTTTCATCCGTCTCGCTGTGGCGCCTCCACCTCTCTTGTGCGCACTAAGAGATCTTTGTCAACTCGGACATTAGAAACAAATCAACCATGCTTCTCCTTCCAAACTAAACTTGACAGTAGCCTTCCCCCACTTGTTGTCCTCATACTCCATCTACATCGCTCGTCTCGAATCATATCGGTGTACCTCTCTTACTCCACACTACGAGCAAGATGCATCCATCTCCTCCATCACTTGGCGCGGATCGAATATGAGCGCTCATCGTCTTCAAGTCCAATGCCACCATTTCCATCAACATATGTGTCACTAAGTCGTGCCTGCTTGCAAGCTTCACCTAATCCAGCACTGTCCTCCTCGAGTCTACACACCAACCAACTATTGCTCCTGAATAATTATATGCTGATAACTCTACTGCTAGAATCACATCTGATTCTCTACATCGGTCTCATCTGTCGTATACTCATTTGTCCTATCTGCCATCAGATTTGTCTCAACATCACCATCCGAACTTTCAACACTTTCTGACCAATCTGAGAAAAATCTAAAAAATCAAACCCTCCCATCGCGTTCAGAGTACTCTAAAACTTGAGAATCAACTCCTGGATCACTGAAATCAACCTCTGATTCACCAATCTATCGGCAAAACTATCTGGACCATCCGATGTGCATGCACAACAATAAACACCAAACAAAACTCCACATCAGAATAGCAGATCGCAATTAGACAATCAGATCACGTGAACTGCTTCTCATAATTCTTTTATGTGAACCCCACTGGCTAAATTTCCTTTTCTTCCCACACGTGTGAATCTCCTCACATGCTGCTACTTTTTCGACTCTTGCACGCGAACGAACAAACCAAAAACCACATATGTTACCGCTCTTGCAGTCGCCCGCTCTGTTTGCCACTCGGCCTTCCTTTTTTTTCTCTGACGATCCTCACTTTTGTATAACATCTATCTTGCGAACTCGCTCCAGGATCCATCATCATGGTTCTGATATCACTTATTGGGGAATTTTAGTCTCCTCGCCTACTATGATCTACGCAACTTGAAAACCAACCCACAATTAACAAGATATAAAATAACTACAATCAAGAAGAAAGAACATCGATATTTACGTGGTTCGGTCGACCAACTTCGACCTACGTCCACGGGGCAACAATACGAGAAATTCACTATATATCAGGGAGAACTACAAGATGAACCACTCAACTCTCGTCTCTCAGTCTCTTAACCTCACATACATAATTAACTCTCTTATTCTCTCCAAAGCATTCTCGTTACAATCTTTTGAATAGATAAAGAATGTGAAACTCTCTCCTAATGATGTAATCTTTTACACAGACAAAGACTACGAAACTCTCGTCTCTCGCACAATATTTTTGAATCAGGCTAGGTCCTCTGCTAACCTTAGATTGTAAAAATATTGGCTCTCCCACTTCTCCTCTTTTTGGTTTTTCCTCCAACAATAGAAGAATATATATAGGGAAACCAAAATCTTATATCTAGCCTAACTTCCTAATTAGAATCAAATTCCTAATCATGATGAGATCTAATCTCCTAAACATGATAGAACTCCAACTCTATCTAATTCTCATGAAATTATGTAAAGAATCAAAAACACAATCCCAACAATTATCTATTATTTAAAGTGTCTTTTTAGCTTTTCTATATTATGAATGATTATCATTAATTAATGATTATCATTAATTGTATCATTAATATATCACTTCACTTTACTTTTTTTCCTCTCCTCTTCTCTCTTTTCTAAACTCATATTCACATAGTGATCTCTTTCAAATTCCCGTACATTACAAGAAATTAAACTTAGCTATGAAATTTTATTGCTGCACATAATCCTAAATCTATCCAAAAAGAAAGAAAGAATGAATGATCACCCAACATGCATATTTCAAAAAAAATAGCAATACTATCCATTTTATGATCTTTTTTAGAAGATATTTCAAGAAAAATGGGTCTTTAGAATTTTTCTTTTTTAATAGAATTTAGTGTTCTGATGATTTCTTAATTAGTTTGCCAAAATATCAAGGTTTACGAGGGGATAAAAAAGACTCGACATGCATGTATATTTGAGTGTCAATATCACTATATTCGAACGCCAAGGGCCAAAACAACTTAGCTGTTAACAACTTGTTCTTTTCTAACGCAACAAACAAACTTGAAGAGCGATGGCCTCTTATTCTGAGTCATTATTCCCTTGTCATGAGAAAGCTTGTCCGCCCAAAATCTCCCAACAGTTGTCCAATTTTTGTTGCAGCCTTTTAAGAGCCAAAAGGGATCAAAGAAATATTGTGTTTTGTAGATGGACCTAGCTTTTAAAGATTAGAATGCTATCATTGTCACTTTTATCTTCCAAAAGTAGGTGGAGATCACAAGATACTGACCTGGCCGCTAACAAATTGTTTCCATTGTGGACGTTGTCTAGTATGTATAAATGAAGATATCAAATGTATAGAATGTAGAAGAAAATGCGGAAACTGGACATTCTCCTTTGCACCTTTCTTCACGAATTTAGAGCATATATATACTCAATCGCGAAAATACTGATCTGAACTACTGAAAGTTTAGCATACGTCCTTATACTTTTGTGGATAAATAATGTTAGAGGCACACCACCCACCACAACCCCAATCACACTCCCCCCTCTCATTGCTACAGTAAACCGGGCCCCACATGAGATTTTAAAAATCACTCCCCCTCTCATTGCTACAGTAAACCGGGCCCCACATGGGATTTTAAAATTTTTAAAATCCCTTGTGGGGCCCGGTTTACTGTAGTAATAAGAGGGGAGAGTGTGGTTGGGGTTGTAGTGGGTGGTGTGCCCCTAACACCACTCTTTGTGGATACATGAGGGCTATTGCTTGGCTCTTACGTTTGGATTGCTTTGCAAATATATAAGCTTCTATGTCCACCATTAATTAAGCTCCAATAAAAACAAACTTGAAACGGAAATAACAAAATGCGTCCGCTTTTTTTTAACATTTAATAGAGTTTCAAAAAATATCCAATGGATTTGGAAAACAGTTTTAAAAATTGGTCATATATCTAAACACGAAAAGAATAGGGTGTAATTGCCAATTTTGAAGATAAGAATTCACATGCTGAGATTCCTGTTGTTAGTTGCTGTGTCCTTAAAATCCTCTATAATTCAGTCTTCTAGTGGTGCGTCCCATTTTTTTTTTACCAAAGACCTCTGGTGGAGAGTCCATTTGAAATTAAGCACAAATAATGCAGTGGCGTTTCCGTTGCAAGTTAAGTACTAAAAAAAATTTCTTGTATAAATTTAGCTACAAACAACTAATAGCAGAAACAATAATATAAATCCATCAAATTGCACACGTATCTAGTCATCCTATAAAGTCTCAGATAAATAATATTTAGAAACTATCAGAAGTTTTTTTTTTTTACCTCAAATCTATGCAACAATGTAAAAATAATTCACATGAGCACGTGTATTTTACTAGTATATCCAAAACCCAATACCAATTAATATACAATGAATAAAATCTGGGATAATATCTTGTTTGCAACATGCATTAATCTTATCCGAGGAAACAAAAATTAGAGCAGGAAAACTATCCAGTGGCCTCTGATTTCATACTGGACATTGGAGGGAAACAGGAGGGGGCTTATAATTACTTGGAACCCCCTGTTTCAAATGACAACCACATGGGCGACTTATTTATTTCAAACAAAGCTTTTATGGACCAATATAACTAAACATTGATTTGTAAAGTCAAACCTAGGATTGGAAGGAATTTTCTATCATAACTTGTCGTATATTCATCCCTTTCCAAAAAATAAAATCAAAAAAAAAGGAAAAAAATTTTGAGTCCAAAAATGTTGAAAGCTTTTCTTCCCGTTTAAAAGAAATTTTTGTTATCCTTCTTGGTTCTAATTCAAGCGTAAAATAGACGACTAACAAATTGCTTTTTTTTATTTAGCAAATAGCTTCATATTTTTTTGAACTGAAAAACAGGGTGAGATACCCTGTTCATATATATAGATATTTATAAACCAAGGGGTTCGGCGTTAACATGGGGCAAAGAGTGCGGAAATACTCAAACAGGGATCATGCACAACGATTCTAAGTCAGAGCAGCGAGCCGAGGGTACCAGACGCCGCGACCGTGTCCGCACCCTACCCAAAATCTACTCCTATACTCTAAAAACCACATCGCACCAAAGCCACAACCAAAACAAAAAACATAAACGTCCACCACATCACATCAGCAGTTTAACACAGAAACCTGTTGAAGCTGAAAACAAAACACCAGCCACAACAAAACATACATAACAACGTTCTGCACACTATGCCGACAAACATGCAGAGTCAACTTCCCAGCTTGCCCATCCAAAAGGGCTGAGCGGGAGCAACGATGCCACTGCAATCAGCGAAACCCACCAGCAGGGCGCTCGAAGAGTCACACTGCTCCCATCTTAAAAGAAAAATCTTACCCCATCACTTTCTCTT